AGTATTTTTTTCTGTGCTGTTTAACGAGTTTTGTTGTAACCACCTTTTTAAAATCTTGAAGTATAGATTAGACACAAAAAAATTTTCTTGTTTTAGAGATTACTGCTTCACGAAGCATCTCTACAAAACGACGTCAAAACGGCACATTGTTTGATTTGGAGTGGAAAAAACCTTAACGAGAGAAATGTTTATGGAGTAAGATTTTCGAACAAGTTGAAAAAATTTTCTCGACTTCCAGAGAGTGCTTATCATAAATGACGATTAATTGGAGTTAGGAGATTAGTTAGAAAATTTTGGTGCAGGCAACTTTCCATGTTTTGCAACTTTTTAACTCTGTTTTGATATGTTGTCAGCAAACAAAAGTATTTGCTTACTTTTTAAAGTTTTTGCTATAAAAGCACTCAAAGACTGTCTGCTTTGTACGCCAGAATGAAGAAGAAGTGTGTCAAACAATGCTTTTAAAGTACAGTTTCGCTTAAAAAAACGGAGAAGCTATGGCATCTGTGCGCTCTCCAATTCTTCCAGTGGATTAACAATTAACGTTCTAGTACACAAATACTCTGAAAAAAGTCATATTACTGTTGGTGTTTGACGTGAGTTTTCTAAAACGCTAAATTTAAAAGGTAGTTGTTAGACACGTTGCTTGGACCGCCCTTGATGCAATACTAAATGATATATAACGGTAGAACTGTTTGTATAAAACGAGCTGCATCGTTTGTTTAGTTCATTCTTAAAATGACCAAACGTATCATTTTTAAGGCATTTTTTTGGTGCTTCTAGTACACAGTAACTTTAATCGTTTTCATCTTACTCTTGGCAAAACAGGTACACTGTGTCGACTTCATCAGTTCTTCGAGGGGGCGTTTGTACAATAAAGAAAATTGCTTGCTAGACAACTTTTTTTTTGTTTTGATAATTCCGAAAACTATTTTGATTATCGAAGTGAAAACTAGGTTTTACTGTAACAATAATCAGGAAAAAATCAAAACAGAATTGTTTTAAGGTGTAACTACTACATTATTAAAATAAAAACCAGAAGATTTAAGAAAGATATGTGGGAATGACTTTGCTTATTAATAAAACAATATATCGTTAAGCGTAGTCGTTTCTGAAACTTATGGCACACTAATGTCTTTAGATTGTGTTTTGTTGTCTAATTTGAAGTGCTGCACTGCAGATTACATTCAAGGAGAGTGCTGAATTATTATGGTATAATCCTTGATGGATAGGAAAGCCAAACTTAGTACCATAGGTAAAAAAGTGGGGTAGTTTACTGAAAAAAATAATATGTTGTCTATCTGGAAAATCATTGAAAAACACGATTTTTTAGTTCTCCACTTTTGCTTTCAGATTTTGGGCATTACATCTGAAAATAGGCAATATTCCACTAGTTAAGCTGTTTAAAAAGTCAACTTTTTCAATAAAAAAGAAATTTTGAAGAACCATTAAGGTGAAGATAAGCTAAAATTAAGTTTTGATAAGTATAAAAAATGTTTTCAACACACAAATAATGTGGTATTTGATAAGAAATATAAAAAATACTGAGATTAGCATTTAAATTAGTTAAAATAATGAAAAGATTTTATTAATAAAGTTTTTATATTGTTCATGCAATTTTATAGATACAAGTTGTGAAAGCAATTGATTTACAGTTTTTTTGTCGCTGAAGTGATGCGCATAGAAAAATTTTCTCATGAAATGTAAACAGATAATACCTTTTTTAACTTGAAAAAAACTTTTCAACAAAAAAAAGGTAACAATGAGTTAAAGTCTAGATCTGTGAAAAAACGGCACCTTTTCCTTATTCAAGATATTACAGTACTGATGTCCAAGTTTGAAGTACTTAATGTATAGTAATGAAACATCAAGTTGGTCTCAAATTACAAAAGCTTTAACCAATTCAATTGATCGCTTCAGCAAACGCCTTTATGGATCGCCGCGTCCAGAGGCCACATAGATATGGTGACATTTTTGTTGGAGAATGGAGCTGATATCAACGCAGCAGATAAAAAAAACGTAAAAATTTGTTGTATAAAATGTTTAGTGTTTATATGTGTGTTTTTGATGTTATTAAAAAATCTTTATACAATCTTCTGATAAATACTCTGCAGTAAAACAGATTTTTTAAAATTTAATTTGTATTTCACTTAAAGTCGTTTCTGCAGTTTATTTCATTTGCCGACCACATTTTCCTCTAATGCTATCCTTATCTCTCTTTTTTGGTGCAACGTGGAGTATAAAGCGCTGAATAAAAAGACTTGTAGAAGACAAAGTTTATATACTTAAGAAGTGTAGCAGTAATGATCAAAGAAAAAATAATATATATGTTTTCTAAAACAACTACTTTAATCAAAATGACATTTTTTGATAACAGTTGCGTTCAAAAAAGAAATTTTTAAGTGATAAGATACACATTACTAAGTTTAATCAAATTCAGTACTACTGTTTGATTTTGAGCGTTCCAACAGTTTTGCACTTATTTCTGCTTAAATCGTTTGTCCTGTACATTCTAGGAGACTCCGTTGTGGGCTGCTCTGACGAGTGGATCCAGAGAAGTGTTTGAGTTATTAATCAAAAAGGGTGCTAATTTGCTAATAAAGAATAACGATCAGGTGCCCAAATATCAAAAATTGTATTTTTATTTGAGCGTTTAGTGGTGTTCATTGTAATATCGAGTCAAAAACCTATTGATTTTTGATTGGTTACTATAATTTCTGTCATTTATAAACTAACTAACTTCTGTTTACAACAAAAGCTGTACGTCGTTCAACATTTCTATCAAAAAAACTGCATAAATTCTTGACTGCTTTACTTTTCTGTTTCAGCTGAGCTAAACAAATTTTTTCCACTATATACAAGATTTCAACATTTTCTAAGAGTGATAACGGATAAGAATGGTAACGTATGCTACACGTTTAGGTTACAATATTACATCACGCATCTGCGACAGGCGACGCATATGCCGTAAGACGTTTATTGCAGATGGGAGCCGCTATCAATGCTAAAGATGCAGATGGTGTAAGTTTCTTCACAGAAGTAACTATTCATTTATCATTGTCTATGCGTCCTGTAACAGAAAAAAACTTTTGGAATTTTATAACGCTTTTCTGAAAATAACTAATTTTTTCGGAACGATTTTGTCAGATACAAAAGTAGTCTCTAAAGTACTATATGTTTATTTTATACACATGTATAAATATTTCAGCTTTAATTGTTCAGCAACAACAAAATGCTTAATTATTTCGCTTTCACCTTTAGCAATAATTAACATTAAAATTTAAGTCGGCTTATTGTAGCTCTTAATTGGTCAATTTATAAACCCAAAATATTTTGAAAAGAAGCAAAAAATTATCAAAAAAAAAGCTGTTTGTGATAAGATTGGCGTGTGTGAAGCTTGCTATAAAAAGTGCGCACAGTCGTCTTGTTTTATGATATGCTTTATAAGTTCTCATTAATATGCTTTTTTTTCTCTCAGTAGACGCGCGATTAGGAACGGTGCTTGCTAAAATGTACAGAAAAGATTTAATCACAGTAAAAAAAACGTGATTTGCGATTTAATCAAGGAAATAAATTTCGAAAAACATTGACTGAAACTGGCCGAAAATACTGTTTGAAAAGTTTCTGTTTTGCAACTGTTGGCTAGGCTTATCTGAAAAATTATGTTCAGCAAAAGAGATTTATTAGACAGCGGGATCAGAAAGACATATGCTTAAATTTTCTGCACGTATTTCTTATTTTGTAAGCAATCGCAAAAGCGTTTTGAAAAAAAAAATGGAGC